TCATCATTCTCCCCTCTCCTCCTCTTCCTGCTCCTCCTCCTCCTGCTCCTCCTCCCACCCCATCCTCCAGTTCCTCCTGCTCCTCGCCTTCCGCTTCGTCCTTCTCGTCCCTGCGCGCGTCCGCGTGCTCGCGCACCCATCAGGGCCTTGGGTTATTGCCCAGGGCATTTTAGATCCCTGGCTGGCGACACTTGTGGGGCGTGGCCATTGGCAGGGCACTGGCAAGTCTACCATTCTTCCCAGACTGGGTCGGCAAGCTGAAGAGCTTGATATCGTTCTTCCGGCAAATGCCAGTCATCGAGGAGCTGACGAAGATGCTGAATGCGAGGGGGGCTGCCGCTCTCGTGTCCGTGATCTCTGCGGGCAAGTAACCCGCTTTCGCAGCATGGAGGTGGGGCGCGATGCGGAGATTACGCAAGGCCGTGTCGGTATTTCTAGATTCCCTTCCGCGCAATTGGGGCCCGAGGCCATGGCTCGGCGATCGGGACAGAGCGCGGATTACGAATGTTACTGCTGCGATCAAGGATCCGCGCTGGAAAGCGCAGTTCGACTTCATTCATTGGCTCGCTACGTGTTTGTGCGATGAGCGAGGCGATGACAACGAACTTGGGCGCGCTGCGTGCGATCGCAAAGGTCGCTTGCTGAAGTGCGCGTTCGGGTTCGCCTCCGACAGCTTGAGGTCGGGCCTGGCCGAGGCGAACGAGTGGGGGGTCAACATGTTCGGGGGCGACGTTCGCATGTATCAGCAATGTCTTGGGTGCGTTCGAGCTGTTTTCCGCCTGGCGAGCGAGAAGATCAAATTTCTGGATATGGCGCCGCGGCTGCCGGTCAATTTGGACAGGCCAGGCGTCCGCGACAGGCACGTGCACCAGCGTGTGTCAGCCCCTGCAGACCAGCGCCATGAGGTCCTCGCTGGCGTGCCAGACCCCACGGGCGCGAAGATGTCGCGGGCGCGTTTCACTGCCCAGGGGTGGGCGAGGGGCGGCGCAGAGGGTGCGAAGTTCAAGGTCCAAGGCAACGCCCCCCCCCCCCCCCCCCCCACCCCCCCCCGCCCACCCCCGCCCCCATCGCCCCCGCGCCCCCCCCCCGCGCTCCCCGCCGCCGCCGACCGCCAGCTTTCATGATGCGCACCCTCTCCCCCGAAAGCGGTGGCGGGGGCGGGGCGGGGCGGCGCGGCGCCGGGGGCACGGGGCGCAAGCGCGATGTGTAGACGAATGGTTTCTCACGGCTGTCCCAGGTCACCCACGAATTCCTCCGGCCAGGAGGGCCTCTTCGCCAACTGGTTGACGCGATCAGCCCCGACGGCGCCATCCCATCCGAACGGCTTCGGCTGGAGGCCCAGGGGCTCGAGGCGATCCCGCTCGACGACAGCGTCGCTGAGGGCCCGCGTGCGAAGGTAAAGCAGGTTACCGACCACAGCCCCGCATCCACTTGGGCATGGGCGGCGTCGACCGCCCGACCAGAGCAGAATTTCAAAGACATGGGCGACTTCATGCCGATGTACGGCGAGCCCTCGGCTTCATTATGGCGCCGCTGTTCGTCTATACTGCGCGTGCAGAGCGCGAGATCGACGATGCGACCGAAGCGCATGACGAGGGCGAAGTTGACTCGATACGTCAACCGCATGTCCTACTTGCTCGAACCAGCTGGCGACGCCGACGACGCACCCGACGACCCCGGCGACTGACCAAACGACCTTGCAGACCCTCCACCGCTAGGGCCAGCGCCTGGTCGCTTCGGCAGCGACGACGACATCGACGACGATGGGGGCGGCGGCTCTGGGGGCCCTGGAGGGGGCCACGGCGGCGGCAGGAAACGCAAGAAGGCGGGGGGCGGCGGCGGCGGTGGTAAACCGAGTGGCCATGGCAGTGGCACGGGGCATGCCCCCCATGGCGCCGTCGACGACATGGCGCTTCTGATGCGGCAATATCTCGGGAGCTCTCTCGGGCCATTCTCTTACAGATCGATGCCCGTTCAGGATGCCGAAGGCGGCGGCTTCCACGCTCGGTTTTCTCCAGGTTGAGCAAGGGCGAGAAATTTATCGGTCCTGATGCGTGCGAGGACCCAGAGCCATATCTGTTTAAGCTGGGCGCGCAGCCATTGGAGGTGTCCTGCCCGATGTCCAAGGGCCCAGACTGCCTCTGTGATGTCGCCGATGTGTTCGCGATTGAGGGCCCAGCCTACGTCGATGTGATGAGCATGTGCAGCGCCGACCCTGACACGAGGCACGGCTGGCTGAACTGGGTAGTCGGAAATTCCGAGAGGGAGTGTTGTGTCAATTAAGTGGGCCATCGCCGATCTTGCCGACCGTGCCTTTTTCGAGCTCGACAGTGCCAGTCTTGTGCTTAATGGATGCGCTGCACGAGGAGGGCTGGACGCCCGTCGCGTGCAAGACGAAGCACAGCGCCGATGCCGATAAGGCAGGGGCGTGCCATACATAATATTCCTCCATTCCTCGCCACCCCAAACGACTCGCAGGGGACGGTCGTGCGTTGTTGCCTAGGTCGCACGCGTGAGCACGCGTGATCACATATTGCCTGCGCTCGCGCGTGTCGTGTTCATGCGCGCGCTGTGCGTTTGCGTGCTCGCGCGCTGCCCCAGCTGCTGCTGCCTGCATGCCGCTGCCGTTGCCTTCGATGGCGACTGCCTGCCCCTGCCCCTGGAACGACGAGCACGCGCGCGCAGGGGGGGGGGGGGGGCCTGTGGCGCGGGCCCTGGGCCGCTAGTTCGGGGGAGGGGCGTCGGGGTCTCGCCAGCTCTTGGATTCGGACCACGGGCTCGCCTTGGGTCTTTCGGAGGCGGGGCCTCCTCGTTCCCCCCCCCTCCCCCCCCCTCCTTCCCCCCCTCCTCATTTGCTCCGCCCAGTGCTTGCCGCCATGATAACATAGCGCTCCCCCCCCCCCCCCCCCCCCCCCTCCACCCACCCACCCCCCACCCACCCCCCCGCGCGCGCCCCCCCCCCCCCCCCCCCTCCGATCTTTTCCGCGGGCGCCCGCCCCCCCTCCGACCCTGCCTGAGGCCTGCAGGTCTACGACAACAGGCGTTTCCCGGGGAGCAGGGCGTATCTTCAATGCCTCCTGATGTCAGATACGCTGTTCCACGCTGGCGATAAATGGTTTCCATCAGGGTGCTCTGGGACGCGGTGCGCACTCCCCATGAACCTCCAAACCCAACTCGACCCGAATCTGTCTGCCAAGGAGTGCAAGCGTCAGCTCGGGCTTCTCCCTGAAGGTTCCGATCGGTTAGTTTCTGCGTCGAAGGGGGGGGGGGGGGGGGGCTCGACTGCCGATGCTCGGGGGGCACGGCGGCGGCGGCGAAGGGAAGGCGAGCTCCTCAGCTGGCGGGGGCGAGAGCCAGGTGGTGAAACGCAAGGCCGAGGCAGACCCCCCGAAGCTGGGCCCCCTCACTGCTGACGACATCGATGGCGGGGGGAGTGCAGTGCTCGGTAGGTTCCCCGATGTTCTCCCCGATTGCCATTTGAAGAAAGTCGGCGAGACTGTGAAGAGCGGCTATAGCTGTGCCGCGGGATTGTCGGTAGACGGCCCGCTGCATGGCAATTGCAACAGGTCGCGTTCGACAGATATAGATACTAGCATTTTTGGCGACAGAGCGGCCATGTACTATTTAGGGTGCTGGATCCAGGCTGCTGGTGGCATGGACAGGGACGCGCGTCGCAAGTTCGGACCACCACGGACAGCCGTGGATGCGTTCATTAAGTCGAATGTCTTGCGATGCGCGCGCCACTGCAGCACTGGCATGATGCGCGAGCGCGTGCGTGCAAGCATATCTGTGTTACGCTTGACAAACGTAACACAAGTCGCGATGAATCGCAACAGCGCCTGATGAATGGCAACGCGCTCCGACCCCCAGGAGGGCCCAAGACGGCTCACCGGGCTTCCAAAGGGGCCCCAAAGGACGCTCCCCCCAAAGACCCCAGGGAGAAAGCGCGAAAGTGCATGAGAACGTTCCTCTGCCACTTTTCTTTTTAACGGCCCCACGTGAGAGCGCCAGGAAGGCGCCGACTGACCTCCACAGACCACCAGGACGGCGCCCAGCGACCCCCCAGGAGGGCCCAAGACGGCTCAACGGGTTTCCAAAGGGGCCCCAAAGCGCCTCCATGACGGCCCCCAAAGAACCCAGGGCGAAAGCGTGAAAGTGGATGAGAACGTTCCCCAACCACGTGTCCTTGTTCACGGCCCCGCTTGGAAGCTCCAGGAAGGCCCCGGGAGGGCGCCGACGGGGTTCGTGTTCTCCCTTGCTCGGTCGTTCCGTGGCCAGCCTCAGTCCCAGGAACAAGCGAAATATGTGGGAATCATGATTCCCATCGTTGGGCCCCTCGTTGCTTTTCAAGGTTTTTCTTTGACCCCCCCGGAAACCAAACCGCCACAGGAGAGCCCCAAGAGAGCCCCGCGGTGGCTCCAAGATGGCACCAAGAGGGCTCCAAGAGGGCCCAAGAGGGCCGCAGCTGGCCCCCAGAACAAACGAAACAGATGGGCATCATGATTCCCATCCTGCACCCTCCCTCGGGAGGTCCCCAAATGGTCCCAGGAGGGCTCCAAGAGCCCAGTCCCCACGCTCAGGGTTTGTGCGAGATGGAGGCCCAGACCCAACGCCCAAGGGGGGGGGGGGGGATCCCAACGCTCAGGGGGCAGCCCCGTCCCCGCGCCCAGGGGGCAGCCGCGCCCCCGCGCTCTGGGTTTGTAGAGATGGCAACCCAGTCCCCGCGCTGCCAAGGATAACAACATTGGGCAACCCGATCGGCATGCATTCCGTAACGCACGTCGGCTCAAAATCAACATAGGTCAAGTCAGGTTTGTTTCTTCGCATTGCGGCCTTGGCGCCAATATCTGTGCAGCTTGCGTTGGTTGCAGCTCTCTGTGGTTGCGATCTTCAGTCCGCGATGAGCGATGGCGACATGGCGGGCAGCCCTGCGGGCGCGGTGGCGCCCCCTGTGAAGAGGAGGAGGGGCCGCGCTGCCTCGTGCGCTGCTCTGCCTGCAGGCGTGGGCGAGGAGGGCGGGGGCGGCTTCGCCTGTTTCCTGTGCTTGGATGCGCTGGGCAACGGCATTGCCAAAACCTGGAAGGGGTTGCTGTTCCGCGGGGGTGAGTGCTTCAACGCCGTGCGCGCGTACAGGCGGATCCTGGAGAAGTGCCCGAAGGCTCTTGATGCCGCCGACAAGAACGCGCTCGAGGACCCGACCGGCCGGAGGAATGACGTTCTCATGATGAAGAGGGCCGAGGGCGGATGGAGCCGTGCTGAAAGCATATCTCGCATCAAGGCGAAACCAGCGCACGTCGAGAAGCATTGGGCCCAGGAGGACATCAAGGACAAGCTGCTTCTGAACAAGCGCAGGTACAAGTCTTACGCCGGTCATTGGGGCAAGGTCGAGTCGGGCGCGGCGTCGGAAGATTTCGACAACGAGCTCAGGAGGTTGGGGTCCATTGGCAGCAATAGGTTCAACGAGGCAGGCGAGCGGTGTGTCATTGTGGCTGACAACCCCAGACAGCGCGGCAAGACGGGCGCAATCGAGAGGTCGGGGGCGGACGACGACGACTACCCGCGCGGGGACTTCGGGCGGCAACGTCGCGGCAAGGGCGGCAAGTCTCAGGGCGAAGGCGCAGGGCATCGGGTTCGCCGCTTGGCCGCCTTGGCCGATGCGCCCTTGGAAGGTCTGAGTGGCGACGACGGTGCGCTGTCAGATGCCCCCAGCCGCCGCGCGCGCAGCGCCCCGAGGCCCAGCCCGATCCCGCCTGCTTCTGCGAAGCTGGCTCCGCGGCTCAGCGCCACGGCGCTCCGAGACCATGACGGGGCCCAGTCGCGGGACGGCGGCGCTGTCAGCGTGGCCAGCGCCATGCCTGGCACCAAGATCACTGCAATCCAGCTGCTCAAGGAGAAGGCCGCCCTCCGCGAGCAGATCGCTGACGCGGAGCAGCACGTCGACGGGCCGAAGAGCATCTGCGCGAGGATGACGGTGGCGGACAAGAAGATCAGCGCGGAGAGCAGGAAGTACCTGGATACTGTCACAGCCGATGTCGTCATGAAGCTGAGTGATGCGGTCACTAAGGCGCGGATGCTCAAGGATACCATTGATTCTACGAGGGCTTCGCAGCTGGAGGAAGCTCGGGCATCGGTTGAGTCGGCCGTGCGTCTCGTCAGCGTCGAGGTGGCGAAGGCTGATGAGCACATGGTGGCCATCGAGTACTTGTAAAAGGGGAAGAGGCTCGCCGAGTGGACGGAGCCCTTACATGGGCGGTACGAACGCACGAAAGTCGTCAACCGCCTCGTGAGCGGTGGCTCCCACAAGAACTCTGCTAAGCTTCAGCCAGACTTGCTCTATTCGGATAAGCCTCCAGCCAATGTCGCGGTGGACCCCGATGCAGTCGACCACAAGGCGATCTCTGTTTGGAGAAAGGCCGATGTGAACTCGGACAAGGGCAGGTGTGTCTCATTGCCAGAGAAGGCCGAGAAGATGAACAAGAAGTTGATGGACAATCCCACGTGGAATGGTTGCCTTGGTAGTCTTCCCCAGGTTCAGCCAGCCACGTTCGAGAAGTACGACCTGGGCGAATGCCCATGGGGCACCGCCGCTGGCACGGGCAGCAAGGGTCTTTGCCCGTGGCTTGCGTCTGTCAAGAAGGAGGTGTTCAAGTACGGGCCCAAGTCATGGCCCCGTCTTGGTGTCGGTTGTTTCGTGACCGTCGAGACGCCCATGGTGGTCGAGCTCTTGGCGATCGAGCCCCTGTTGACGAATGGCATTACGCTGACTGATGCAACGGGCTTCCTCACTACGGATGACGGTAAGACGTACGTGGAGGAGTCCGTGACGCCCATCAAGATGAATGGCAGGTCGTTGTTGTGGGTGCCGTACGGCTACGCGTGTTTGCCACTCTTTACTGCCTTCACGCCGTCAGAGCAGTGCGAGGGCATCGCCTTTGCTTGAGTATGGAACATCTTCTTGAAGAATTGGGCCTCCGAGCTCCCGCCCAACGCGTGGCAAGGCATACAGAATTGGAACTTGAAGCAGCGCGGGGCCGAGTCCGCCTCGATGTGGAAGGATCGTTTGGCATCCTTTTCGGAGTTCACGAAGTGAGGCGAGCTCGCAGATTGGTTGCGAATTATCAGCCAGCCCTTGCTTCCTCATGCGCCCTTTCTCCGCCTCGTGCCCCTCCCCCCCCCCCCAGACGTTCACGTACCCCTTCCGCGATGTCACGTCTCAGTTCATTACATCACGCACCGGCGTCCCCTTGGCCACTTCTCCCTTGCTCGCCCGCTTCGCAGAGCCCAGTTTTAGTGACGGCGCTCTGAGCTCAGTGGCTGGCACTGTTCCGACCCAGTGAGGGGTCTCGATAGGCGAGCCCAGTGCAAATGGAGTGCGTCGCCGACGTCTGTCTGAGATTTCTGGGCCATGCCACCTAGAACCCGCCCATTCCTGTCAACTCCTCCCTATCCCACTGTTCCCCCGACATCGCTATCGCTTTGGCTATCGCAGGCGCGAAACGCTCCACCCCCTGCAAAGTTGATACTTGGCCTGATAGCGGCCACGCTGGCCTTTGTTGTCCGAATGGGGCGTGCCATTCAGACAACAAAGGCCAGTGGGCGCGTCGGTTGACCTGGTGCTCAGTCCCGCTCCGCCCAGCCCTTTTGGGCAACCTGGCTGCGGTCAGCATTCGCGGCCGCCGCATTCGACCGCGGACAGGCTCGCCCCGTCTGGCGTTTGACAGTCCTTAGCTACGGTGGCTCAGTCTGCATCGCCGCGCCAGCAGCCGCCCTGAGCGCGTCCACGGTCGCGCCCTGCGATGGCTTTGACGAAGCCTGTGATCAAGCGGCTCGGGCGCGAGGAGCTCGAGAACCGTCTGTCGGATGTCAGCCGTGAGAAGAACAAGGCCGTCGAGCGCATGTGGAAGAAACACCTGACATCGCACTTCTTCTACAGCGAGATCGTCAAGGCACGCGACCCGACCATGTAACAGAAGCACATGGATAGGTTCAACGAGAAGATGATGGCAGCCGAAGCACGCATTGGCATTGAGGTCTACCCCGAGGGAGATGCGGCGCCCGATGCGGACAACCTCGGCGGGGGAAGTGCATCGTCGGGGCAGCCGCGCGAGCCGCCGCCATGAGAAGGCCCGGCGCCTTCGGGGCACGCGGGCGACGCCCAAGAGCCGAACTGCCAGGATGACCAGCAGGATAAGGACAGCTCGGATGATGAGGATTCCGATCGAGGCCGCTCGCACTTCCCAGCCCCAATTGGCGGCGACGAAGCTGTTGCTAGTGCCGGCATCTCAGCCGTGCACCCGCGCGCCGCGCCAGTGCCGCGTGGCCAGACACGGCCATGGTCTGAACACTTCGGTTCGGTGTCGCCGTTGCTCCCGTCATCGCAGTTGCGTCCGTCCGCCGGCGTCGACCTTTACCACCTTGAGGGTATAATGGCGATTGGAGGAGGAGGAAGTGCGAGTCGGGGCTGGGAGGGCGGGGGAGGGCGTAAGGGGAGGGAGGTGGGAGGTGGAGGGCAGCGCCGAGCGGGGCAATGGAGGACATGGCGAGCGATGCCAAAGCCGGGCCGTCGGAGCAAGAGGGAGCAAGCACGGTGGGATAATGGCGAATGAGGTTGGGGGGCGGGCATCCGCGTCTGTATGTTTTGGGCCCTGGTGGGCCAAACCGGGGGAGGTGGGCGGTGATCGATGCGAATGGATAGGCCGACGATCGTTCGATTGTGCTCGTGTACTTGGGCTTTAGGCGGGTCGTGGCGGCGACGGCGGCGACGGTGAAAGCGGTCGCGACAGCGCGGCGACGAACGGAACGCCACTGGCTGCACGACTCCGCTGGCAACGCTCACCCCGCGCCGCACTGAGTGCGGCGCGGGGCGGGCGGCGGGGGGCTGAGAACTCGGGTGGGGGGGCGGGGGGGGGGGGGGGGGGCGGTGGATGAGGAGGAGAGGAGAAGAACGATGAGGATCAAGTGGCGGCCTACGCGTGCTACTCGCCTCCATCTGCCCCCGCCCCCCCCGCACCCCCCATCTGGTCGGCCCTGTCTCCTGCTCGAGAGGGGGGGGCTGATGGCCCATATCCTTCCCGTGCTCCGCTCATTCCCCCTCCCAGGCGGGGTGGCTCGCAGGCGGTGTGCCGTGTTATGCTGCCCCCTTCCGTTGGATAAGGTTCCCCGCTTGTGCTGTGGCATGCGTGGCATGACTGTCTGCGTCGCCATGCAATCTAAGTAGCACGTTGCATCAGCAGCCCTGACGGTTGACGAATCCCCCGACCAGTTCGAACCAGTTTAATCAATTGAGGGCCAGTTTGAACCATATTAGGCGCCCGTGCCCCCCTCGGGGTGCGTTGCGGGGTCGCTTAGCGGGGTTGTGCTGTAACCGTGTTTCTTACCAAAGTTCGACGATTGCGTCGGGGGCCCGCTCACATCTTGCGATTCCGCATCTACATCTGGGCCGACCGAAGAGGAGGTGAACATCAACGATGTGAACGCAGTTGATTGGGAGCTGGATGGCGAGCGCGACGAGGAGGAGTTAACCTGGAGCAGGAGAGATTGCATCACTCCTCGACTACGGGCTGGTCAGCGAGATCAGGCGCGAAAGGCGCAGGGGATCTAGAGATGGGGCCAGGAACAGCATCGCAAGCTTTACTTACCGAGCCGCCCACGATTCCAGACCCCTTTTCTGGGGGTGCTAATCCTGCCATCACGAAGGATGGTTAGTGTCGCCTGGCACTTGTCTGGCGCGCGGGGGAATGGGCGCGGTCAGACGCGTGGCCAGACCTGGCGCACGCGTGGTTCGCCCAGCTGAGTCATGGGAGGCCCATGCTTTGGGTGACGCATTGGGCGGCGAGCTCGTTCCGGCACTTGTCTGAAAAGGTCCGGCAATACGAGGTGGAGCAGTTTGAGAAGAGGGGGTCTACAAGAAGGTGAAGGGCGAGGTATGTTGGGCCGTTGCCGGCGAACGCCCCATCTGTGGCAGGTGGGCCGACATGGGCCAGGGTGACGAGTCAACCCAGATTTCAGAGACTGCCTGGCAGGTCTGCAGATTCTGTGCACCTTCGTTGGGGGCACAGCAGCCCGTGCTTTCCATGGCAATTGCCGATGAGCGCGGTGAGCGCGAAATGGCCTGGAGCGCGTCGCGCGCGCACTTCTACTACAAGGCCAAGAACGACATTTTATCCGATTACCTGAGGAGGATGCAGATGCGGGTGCGTTTGGCAGGCGGTTGAGAATCCACGCGCGGCAGTTGTGGCGCCGCCAGCGACCGGGTGGATTGATCATCGGACTACGCGCGCGATTCTGGCTGCGACGTTGACATTGCCTCACCTGCGATTTCAAGCGCCGGACTCGAAGACTGCGGCGAACAATTTGCGGTGACGAGCGCAGGCGTAAGCAGCAGCATTGGGCCGCGATGAAGATGTTCATTGGTTTGGCCAGGAGACCAACGGCGATATCGAAGTCAAGATGTGATGGCGACTGGGCCCAGGAGCGAACGACTTAACGTTGGTTCGCTTTTTTGACCAGAATGTGGAGTAGACTTTGGATGGATTGTGGCACGAGGCCGATCAACGACACTGTGAAACATCAGTGAAGACTTGAGGCGTGACCAGCACAAAGCTAGACGCGAGACCCCTGGTCAAGGACTCGCGCGAGAGGAGGATAACGAGAAGCCATTGCCGAATCATGAGGTAAAAAGATATCAAGCAGTTGCCACCTGGGCCACTTACCTCGCAGTGGTCGCTCGGATATGCATCTCTCTGCAAGCGAACTCATGAGGTCCATGTCAGCACCTACCCATGGGCCGTGGAAAGTGTTGCTCAAATGAGTACCTCTAGAACAGTTGCCGCTCTTGCTACAGGGGCCCTTGCCAAGACAAGCCCCACAGGGCTTACAGCATGGACGGACACCGATTACGCTGGGTGCGAAATATCACGCAACTCAACATGTGGTGGTACTGTGATACCGGGATAGCACCTTGCCGTGTCTCGAAGTTCAATTCAAATTGTGGTTGTTGCCTCGTCCGGCGAGGCCGAGTGTGAAGGCATGGCCAGCGGAGGAAATTCCATTCGGTATTGAGGGAATTCAGCATTGAGCGCAGCTTCTAAAGAGTAGCGCCAACGAAGCAGCCGCCAGTGCAAGCGGACGTGGACGTGGAAAGGTAGACATGGTGAAGTATGTCACTTGTGTTTAAAAAATAAAGTGAGATAAGGTTACACCAGCGTAGCCAAAGTGGGCATCCATGGGTTGTGGCTGATGCATTAACAGAGTATGTCAGTCACGATGGGATGCTGATGCATATGAGATGTACAAACCAATGCATTGCCGAAGGGCGGCACGCACGAACACCCAATTCGGAGTACCAAACAAACGTTGAACGACATGGTTTCAATTTGAAGTCGAGGTCAGCTGATACCACGTTGCTAATCTCCCCCATCTACTAAAAGAACAATGTTTGATGACAGGGGTAATCAAGTCAGCGCGCGTACATCGTGGATTTCGACTGCCCTTGCATTCGAGGCCTTGCCAATTACAGAAGACGCTGGAACGCCTGATTGGCTCCAACCAGATTTTGAACCCTAGTGCTGGGCAGGCTTGTCATTACCAGCATTAAATGGGATGTGCTCACGATTTTTTATACCAGAATTACCATTGGTTTCGATTCTCTTGCGTCGTATACGGTTCTGCCATGTTCTGCAGCTGGTATTTAGCTCGGGTGTGTGTTTTGCAGTCAGCATCGGCCGAGGGGGACGCCAAGCCACCCCTTACCAGCACCCCGAGGAGCTTACCATACGCAGGGGTCGGGTCTGCCCGCCAGGCTGCCTGATTGCATGCCAAGTGTTCGTGCATTGTATGCACACTGGCTAAAGCTTGATCGCTGCTAGTAAAGATCGGTTTTGATATTTTCACGGGAGCAGGAGAAGCGCCTACGCTACCCGGGGAAGACAGCAAGGGGGAAACGCATGTCCCGGATCTCGTCTCATCATCTTCATGTACAGATTGATTTTCCCCCTCGTTCCTCTGGGGTCGGTGGGTGTGGGCGGGGGGGGCGCGAGCGATCCCAGCCGTAAGGACGTGTTTAACAAGGGAACGAGCGCGGGATGACAATGATGATGTTGCTGGCGGTTGTGGTGATGATGCCGATGCTGTCGGCAATGGCGATGACGACGGCTATGATGATGGCGACGGCAAGGATAAGGAATGTCGTTAATCAGGATGCCTCTAAGGACATGGAGGATGAGGGAAAGGATCTCCGTCGCTCTACGTGTCCCCCTGATCCCTTCATGCCGCTTCCCTTTCGCGTTTTTCATGCCCTCTCTCGCCCGATATCCGGATTCACTTGCCGTCCATCTCTGACTCTTCCTCTGCGTTCCCGCCTCGTTACTACTGCTACTATTGCCGCTGCTGCAAAAGGAGCTACCGCTTCTCCTAATATCTTGCCCTCCCATCCCCTGCCACTTCTTACTTTCACCTCTCCCTGTTCTGCTCTTCCCTTCAACGCCCCGTCCATGCCGCTCCCCCGCGAGGGACGCCCATGGCGCCTATTTCCCCGATGGGGGTGGCGCCCATTTTTATGTCAGCGCAGGGACATATTATTCAAGGCCGCGCTCCGCGGGGCTGGCTGGCCGGGAGAGGAGATCCTCAATCTTCGTCGTTGTCCGTTTTCGTCGTCCTCGTCTCCTCCTCCTTTTCTTCCTCCTCCTCCTCCTCCGCATCCTCCTTCGTCCACCTCCACCTCGTTAGCCAAGCATGTGAATGGCTCTTGGAAGTGTTAGAAGTCAAGCCTCTGAGCAAGCCAGGTCGCTCCTTACACTTCTGCGAGATGCTGCGATTGTTTTGTAGCTATGTTTGCTTCATTGTCACGACTTCAACGTCGATGCTGATGTTGATGGTGTGTGTAGCTGTGCATTATACATGAACTTCGCCAGACTGCCAGCACAAGGTTGGATATGCTTTGTCTTGGTCAAGCAACATACCTTCAGGTACACGGTTTCTGTCGAGCTGTTTTTTCCTTCTTTTTGTCCTTTGCCTTCCTCGCCCGGCGGTGTGTCGTCTCCAGACATCGTTGCTTACCCTTCCCTGCCGGCAGTTGCCTGCACCGCTGCTCAATCGCTCTTGCAGCGCCGCATCATGTTGAGTCCATTTGTTGTCTACAGTCATCGGTCGATATGCCGTGCATGATTGCATGAACAATCTCGCAGCGGCTCTTCTCTGATTTGTTGTGCCGTAGCCATTCGTCATACGAGTTACGTCGTTATGCCCGCTCTATTCGTGCAGTATAATTGAACGTGCGTGGATCATTTCAGGCATGAACGGGTTTGCCACTCAACTTTGACGCGTTCGCCGTCCAACAGGTATTATTTGGCATACGCATCTTGCCATTGTAGAGCCAAGGTTGCATCCTTGGTTGCATTTGGTTGGCTGTCGAATGTAGCGCTGGAGATCGTCCTTTTTCTCCTCGATGCTCCTCCTCCCCATCCCCCTCATTCATTATCGTCCTGCTCGCTCTACCATTGCCCTCCGCATTCCCCCCGTTCCCGATGTCCCATCCTTTCTTCCATCCTTCGTCGTCATCATCCTCCTCATCCCCCTTCTCTGTCTCTACTTCTTCCTCCCCCCTCCGCCGTTCCTCTCTTATACATTATCTCGCCTCCCTACTTCCCCTCCCTTCTTTCATCCCTCCCTTCTTCCTCCTTCCCCGCACCGCCCTTCACTCCCCCTGTACTCTTCCACTCTTCCCGCTTCCTCCCCTGCCACCCCTGCTTCGCATCCCCCGTTCCCCATCCCCTTACCCTTCTGTCTCGGATAATGGGAGATGCAAAAGCTAAATCATGAGGTTTGGGTGCCGCCGTGAAGCAGTGTCGGGACCTTTCTGTTGTTCGACCCTGACCCTACGGATCTGCGTCACGGGTGCCACCGAATTTCAGAAATGTAGCAAATCCCATGTGTTCTGGGACCCTGGCCCTACGGATATGTGTGAGGGGTGCCACCGAATGTTAGAACTGTGGCAAATCCCTTTTGTTTTTGGACCCTGACCCCGCCGATCTGCGTGAGGGGTGCCACCGAATTTAAGAAATGTGGCAAAGGCCTTGTGTTTTTGGACCCTGACCCTGCCGATCTGCGTGAGGGGTGCCACCGAATGTCAGAAATGTGGCAAATCCAATGTGTTTTTGGACCCTGACCCCGCCGATCTGTGTGAGAGGTGCCACCGACTGTCAGAAATGTGGCAACTCTTAGACCCTGACCCTGCCAGGGGTGCCCTCGAATCTAAGAAATGTTGCAACTCCCATATGTTTTTGCACCCTGACCCCGCCGATCTGTGTGAGGGGTGCCACCGAATGTTAGAAATGTTGCAAATCCGTTTTGTTTTTGCACCCTGACCCCGCCGATCTGCGTGAGGGGTGCCACCGAATTTCAGAAATGTGGCAACTCCATTGTATTTTGGACCCCGACCTCGCCGATCTGCGTGAGGGGTGCCACCGAATGTCAGAAATGTGGCAAATCCAATGTGTTTTTGGACCCTGACCCCGCCGATCTGTGTGAGAGGTGCCACCGAATGTTAGAAATGTGGCAAATCTTAGACCCTGACCCTGCCAGGGGTGCCCTCGAATCTAAGAAATGTTGCAAATCCCATATGTTTTTGCACCCTGACCCCGCCGATCTGTGTGACGGGTGCCACCGAATGTTAGAAATGTGGCAAATCCCTTTTGTTGTTGCACCCTGACCCCGCCGATCTGCGTGTGGGGTGCCACCGAATTTCAGAAATGTGGCAAATCCATTGTATTTTGGACCCCGACCTCGCCGATCTGCGTGAGGGGGGCCACCGAATTTCAGACATGTGGCAAATCCAATTTGTTTTTGGTCCCTGACCCTGCCGATCTGCGTGAGGGGTGCCACCGAATGTCAGAACCCCGCCGATCTGCGTGAGGGTTATTATTTGTTTCCCACCCCAGCAATTCAGAGCATACGATTTCTCCATGTTAAAAATGCCCGTTTTGGGCCTCCCCTCCTCGCGCGGTCTATCAACAAGACACAGTAAGCAGCAAGACGTCAACAAGGAACAGTGAGCAGCAAGAAGCAGAGCTGTAACAGTGGAGACTGGAAGCTGCAACTGGTACAGGAAACTGCGAAGCTTCGTCCTACAGCCTGGTGGCCCCACGAGGGGGCTGGCGGATCCTCCGCCCTTCTCCCCTCGCCCTTCCTCACTTCGTTGTTCTGTCCCCTCCCTTCTCTCTTCTGCTCCTTCTTCCGCCTCTCCTTTTCACCTCCCCTCCCCCCCCCCCTGTCCAAACCTTGGGGGAACGGGGAGTGTCGCAAGGGCAGGCTTAGGTGGACCAAGCCCCGCAGTTCTGACCGATGTCTCTGCGGCGGCTGTCGCAGACTATCGATGTCGAAGGTGGGAGGCCGAGCCTCGGGAATTTGGGATGTGACGACGCAGGGTTGTTGTAGATTGGTGGTCCCCGTGGCGAGTGTTAGGTCTAGATGCAACTTACGCCAACTTCGACCCGAGTCGTAACTATCATGATGAGGCGATTGCTTACCTTCATCACGCGATAGCGTCTATTCAGGCGTGCGATCGCCAGAGGCACTACCCCAGACCTTCAAAGTCCACCTCTAGGAGGCAGTTCGGCCGTAGATGTGATTTTGCCGTCGTGGGCGGAATGCCAGCTTCCCCAACCCAGCGCGTCCCGAGAAGCTTGCCACGGATCCAGCTGTCCGCGGCAAGTTTCACCACCGTGTGAGCCCACCATTCTGGATGGCGATTGTCCAAGGGGGCGTGGGAGGCTGTCACGTGTGACACCTTGTGTCCCCAGGCTCTGAAGGGCCGGGGATAATGATGATGCTGATGATGATGATGATGGTTATGATGATGATGATGCTCCTGATGATGATGATGCTGATGCTGATGCTGACGATGATGATGATGATGATGATGATGATGATGATGATGCTGATGATGATGATGATGGTGGTGATGATGGTGACATCATGATGGTGATGATACTGACGATGATGATGATGACCACGATGCTGATGCTGCTGATGATCATGATGCTGGTGGTGATGCTGATGCTGATGCCGACAACGACGATGGTGATGATGATGGTGGTGATGATGACGACGCTGACGCTGGTGATACTGATGATGATGCTGCTGATGATGATGATGGTGATGAGTCACTGGTGCTGATGGCGACGCTGATGACTGTGCTGATGTTGCCGTCGCTGATGGTGACGGCTACGATGCTGGTCACGATACGGATTGTGATGCGGATGCGAATGTATGTTGACGTTGATGTTGATACCGACGATGATGGTTATGTTGATCATGTTGATGCTGATGATGAGGGGGACGTGGATTATGAAGACGATGTTGCTGCTAATGCCGATAACGATGACATTTATGATGGTGATGGTTGTGGTGATGTTGCTGGTGGTGGTGATGTTGATGATGATGAGGGGCCGACACCGACGCCGAGCCGACACCGCCGCCACCGATGACAACGATGGTGAGGATGCTTATTATGATGATGATGCCATTGATGATGATGCGTATGATGATGATGATGATGATGATGATTATGATGATGATGTTGATGATGATGATGCTTACGATGATGCTGCTGACGGTTATGATGATTCTGCTGATGTTGTTGGTGCTGTTTCTGATGATGCTGGCGACGATGATGGTGATGGTGATGTTGATGATGATGCTGATGATGCTGATGATGATGCTGATGCTGATGATGATGCTGATGAGGATGATGAGGCTGATGATGCTGATGACGATGCCGACGATGATGATGCCGATGATGATGATGATGATGATGATGATGATGATGCTGATGCTGATTATGATGATGATGATGACGATGACAATGACGATGACGATGATGATGATGATGATGATGATGATGATGATGATGATGATGATGATGCTGATGATGATGATGATGATGATGATATTGATGATACTGATGACCATGAGGAATAGGATCAGGTGGAGGAGGCGAAGAAGGAGGATGAGGAGGAGGAGGAGGAGGAGGCGGAGGGAGGAGGAGGAACGGCGGAGACGGATGAGGAGAAGGAGGAGGAGGAGGAGGAGCAGGCAGAGGAGTAGAACGAAGGCCTTCACATGTGTCACTTTCCGTCTCCACTATTTGAGGAGCTCTTCTGGAATTCTTGTGGGCTATCTTGGGGCTGCCTTGGCCTCCTGTGGGGCAGTCTTGGAAGTCCCTTGGGGCCCTCTTAGGCCGTCTTGGGGCCCTCTTACGCCGCCTTGGGATCTCTTCGGCCGTCTTGGGGCCCTCTCGGCCGTATGGTGGGGGTCTGGGGGCCGTCTTGGGGGCCGTGTAGGGCCGTTTGGAGGCCCCCTTGGGCCGTCTTGGGGCCGTCTTGGATGCTTCTTTGGCCATCGTCCTCTTAGGCCATCTTGGGAGCCTCTTGGGGCGTCTTGGGGCCATCGTGGAGGCTTATTGGGGCATGAGGCGCCTCTCGAACACCCAAGGGACATCAATAGTGTGGGTTTATTCGAACCATGCTGGAGGTCTACTTGTGGCCCTTCTGGGCCCTCTTTGAGGCATATTGGGCCGTCTTGAGACCACATTCTGCCGCCTTGGGGCCATCTTGAGCCGTCTCCGGGGCATCTTGGGCCATCTTGGTGTCCTTGGTTGCCTGCATAGGCCGTCTTGCAAGCTGGGGGCGAGGATCCATTTGTTTTCATGAGGGCTCGTGGCCTCGGGAGGGAGGGGCGGTGCATGGGGAAGTTTGCTGGTAGAGGAGGGGTCCCTTCTTAGAGGACACACGCCCTACCAGACAGCTCTTGGCATTCTGCCACGGCTCAAAGTGCCAGGGAGCACGGTGGCGGATAGAGATGGGCCCCAAAAGAGTTGTGTTTTTTGAAGTTGGGAGCGCGAGAGGTCGAATAGGGGAGGTCGAAGAGAGGAATAAGAGGATTGATCGACGTGAGGTCGAACGGAAGGGGGGAACGTGAGATCGAAGTATGGGGGCCGAGGGGGAATGTGGTCGGAGATGGGAGGCACGAGCGGGATTGAAGAGACATTCACAGCAGGCATTACTTTTCTACGCACTTTGTCGCGACTTGATTCGCGGCCAGCACTCCAGGTCCGCCCCGAAAGCAGCGCAACATTGTCCAGATGCAAGATGCGAGAGCGCCCACACCAGCAGTGGCACCGAGGCTGTCTGCGGCCTCACCGCAGCCGTAGGGCGGCGTTGGCTGCGAACTACTGCCAGTTTCGAGGAGAGAGGTATCAGGACGACGACGAGTTCGGATTCCCCTGGCAGGCTTTCCAGCCATGCTGCCAGCGGGCGCCGGAGTGGCCGCCATACCGCAGTTCGCTCCTGCAGCCCCGCCAGCGCCAGCTGCGCCGCCAGCGCCAGACCTGTGCGGCCAGCTGAGGATCCCCTGCCTCTGCCTCTGTGTCCTGCCCCTGTCCTGGCGCGCCAGACTCCCCTGCCCATTCCTCTGTCCTGGTTCCTCTGATAAAACGTCCCCTCCCCCGCCGCCGACCATACCATACCATACCTATCAAAACCATACACGTGGCGGCGCACATCAGACACTATGATCCCCCCCCTTCATTGACGATTATTCGACGCGGGGGTCTCAATCGAAGTGGCGTCGGGACTTGACTCAAATGGAAAAGAGGACACCCGCTGAACCGTGCTATGCCCACACGCCCCCTATGATCACCAGTACCACCCCCTGGATTAAAAAGTTGAGATCGGAGCTACACCGAAAGAACCGCATCCTGGTATTCGTCCGTCGTTCGGCTTTCGAGCCGCGACTTTCGATCGGGACTGGATCCTGGGAAGTCGATGGTCGCTGTTCGACCGGACCTCTATCCTCGACCCTCGAAGTATCTGGGGCCCTCGATCCTCGATCCTCGAGCCTCGATCGAACCTCGATCATGGATGTTCGATCGGCCAGGCATTCTGGAGCCTGGAGTTTCGATCAAGCCTGGAACATCGGTTCTCGATCGTCGCTCTTCGATCGGCCATCCAGCGTCGAACTTCGACGGATCGTGGCCGCTCGATCCTGGCTCCTCGATGTCCGAACGGCCCTGGATCCTCGACCCTCGATCTCCGACCCTCAATCGCTAGGTGGTTGTCGAACTTTGATCGGCCGTGGAACCCAAAGCCTCGTTTCCGATCGATATGGGTTCGCTCTTCCACAGTCGGTCCTGGGTCATCGATCGTGTATCCTCGATCATCGATCCTGGATCGTCGATTCTGGACCGTACATCCTGGGTCAACCGCGTCGCCCCAAAATGACCCTGGGATCGAACCTCCCACAGGGGGGCCTGCGACCCGACGCGACCTCAAGATGGCCTCAAGATGACTCCAAGACAAACCTGTGAACCGAACGATGCAACGGCCATCCCTGCGGACATCCGCCCAGGCGCAGATAGGACCGCGCGCGCGAGGCTGTGGCAACTGGAATCTGACTTGCACGGAGAGCATGCGAGCCCGAACAATCCAATACTGTGATGATAAGAGGAGAGAGTGGGAAGAGGAATAGGTCCGCGGCGTCTGTGTGAGCGTACATGAGACCAGAAACTCGAATGTCAGGAAGTCTCAAGCGAAATCGTCGTTTTCTGGTGGCATGAGATGCGACAAAAAGTAATGTGTGAGGAAGTCCCACGCGAAATCGCCACTGTCTGGCGGCCTCAAAAGGGACCGGAATATTTTTTTGAGGAAGTCCCACGCGGAATCGCCAGTTTACGGTGGCATGGCAGACTTTCCGGTCGCCCTGGAAGGCGACCGGAAATTTTTTTTGAGGAAGTCCTAGGCAGAATCCCACTTTCCGGTCGGAGCCCCATTTGGCCTTTATAATATTAAAAGGGATGATGGAGGCACCGGAAACTCCGGAATTGGCAACAAATCCAACATTGTCCCGGGGCCCCGCTGCCTAACGGGAGGCAGACCACGTCTACCTCGGCCCCTGCGGTCTCCACTTTTTAATCCAGGGGTTGTAGTTTCACACTCAGTGGTCCGCGCTGCTGCACACCTTCCATGTATCCGAAGTGCGCCCGAGCACATGGTAGATGGGCTTCTTTCCCAGGAACCGATGGAAAGGGGGAATCTGAAAACGAGTGACGGTAGCCGGGACGAATTAGTCAGCGGCCCCGCCCATTATTCCCCCCCACAAGATAATCATCACTTGTGGCACAACGTGATCTTGTGATTGGAACGCGTTCCCACCCAGCTAACGACAGGCGCTCGCGCGCGGTCCCGCTTCCGACGACTTGGCGAAGGGAGTACCACGTGGGCCGAGCGTGCGCGGGCGTCAAAGCTTCCGATGAGGCTGGCGAAGACGGAGCATGCGCCGCGCAGAAACAGTACTTCCACTGTCACGCACAAGCTGCGCGGTGCTTGGTCGAGGACAGCAGTGCGCCCGCTCTCGCGCGGTCCCGCTGCCGCTGCTGCTTTCATGCTGTTCGGCGAGCGAAGCAAACTCCGCGCCCCAGCAGCACCGCTTCCAAGCGAAATGTGCAAGAGGCTCAGGCGAGGGAGGCAAGTCTCCCGCTCGCGCGTGGCCCCTAAGCTTGGCGACTGAAAAATATGCCGCGTCGAGGCGGGAGCGCCACGTTGAAGCCATTTGGGGGAAAGTCGACGCGCCCAGGAGCAGTTCTGGAGAAAATGAGTCCGCCAGCACCGTTGAGGAGGTTCAGGTGCTGTCACAACCAGCTGGGCCAAGCTCCCCACGGGAAGGGGTTCTTGGAGGGGCAGCCGTCTGATGTTGTGCCCCTGTTTTTCAGTGACAAGTCATGGGAGCCTATTTTCAAATGGACGTTCGTCCTTGGAAACAGTGAACCACAACAGCTCTGTATAACGATGAGGGAACATCGCGCAACAACACTTTGGCGCATTTTGTGCACATTTGAGGGGGCACATTTGCGCACAGTTGTTGTGCACTTCTGCGCACTTTGTGTTTGAAGGAAGGCTCCCATCACTTTCACTCTAAGTCTGCCAAATGAAATCGCACACTTGTTTCGGAGTGGCGGTGGAGCGGCGGTGGATTTGCTAAGCTCCCTCGGGTCTCGGGGAGGGGGAATCGGGGAAACCGAGGGGGGAAGCCAAACAGTGCCGCGCGCCTTTTCATCCCTGGCAAGCGGAGGTCGGCGGCTGACGGGAAGCGCCTTCTCGGAGCGAGAAGGTGATGGGGCTTTGAGGGCTTGTTAGGGCAGCGCGCATAGCAAACGATACAGCACAACATCAGTTGCACACGTGAAAGCACATTTTGGCCATCAACGTTTCAAGTACCTTACGCCATTCCGCCGGCCCCCACATGGAGTGAGTGTTGAGACGATCGTGGGAGTTGCATCTTGGGTTAGGAGCCTCCTGGATGAATATGATAGTCTCTTGGGATGCCTCTCTGGGGCCTCTTGAATCATCTTGGGGGCATGTGGGAGGCTTTCTGGGGATTCGTGGGGCCTCTGCGGGGCTTCTTGGAGGCGTCTTGGAGGACTCTTGGGCCTCCCTCGGGACTCTGGGGGGCTCGAGGGGCCATCCAGGTGGTAAAGGCTCTCAATGTCATTTCGTATTCCCCCTCTTGGGCTTTCTTGGGGCTCTCTCGGGGCCCTCCAGGAACTGTCGTGGGCCGTCTTGGGGGGGTCCCATGAAGCTGTCTTTGGGCCCGCTTGGTGTTGGGGCCTCTTTGGTGGCATCATGGGCCGTCTTGGGGCAAGCTTTGGGGCCACTTGGGCCGTCGTTGTCGCTGTCAAAACGTACAATGGAGTGTGCTGAACATAAATGTGATGATTTGGGCCTCTTGGGGCCCTCTCGGTGATCCTCTGGAGGCGCTTTTGGGCTGTATTGGGGGCCTCGTGGGCCATCTTGAACCATCTTGGATCTTCGTGAGGCTACCCTGGGCTGTCATGACGCTATCTTCGACTGTCTTGGCGCTCTGTCTGGGCCCTGTTGGGCCGCCTCGGGGCTTTTTGGGGGCTCCAGATGCCCCGGGGGTGCGTTGACGAGCTTGTCCGCACCCCCCACCCCAGAATGGCATTTTGGACCCCAGGGGAGGTGGAAAGGGGGAGGGGGACAGTCCAATGTTTCACACGCCTTTTCACCCTGGGCAAGGGGGGAAAAGCAGGTCCCATAGACACGGGATGCGTAAAGAGGAAGCAGTGTACATACCGTGTGTCCCCCCCCCCGCCCGCCCAGTGTAAGCTCGGTACGCGCACCGTACGCCCCTTCTCGCCCGTCCAGTACACACTCAGCGCGGTCGTTGTACATCGCCCGCCCAGCACACAACTTTCACACACATACGCACATAGCGGCACTCACGCGCACACATCCACACGGCACGCGCAGCACTTATGTAGGTCAACTACAGGCAACCATATAATACAGGCCACGGATGGCAACCACCTAGATGTTCGTGGGAAGCCATGCGACGGCAGGTCATATGCACACATTTCGTTTTAGGTGCAAATCCGTGCACGCGCTCGCACGCAAACCTTGAGAAACAGCTCTTCCAGTTATTGTTCAGTCTGGTTTCCAGGTGTATGGCTTTACTGTTGCCTCCTTGTGTCTACTCAGCTTTCCTTCTTAGTCTTTGTCCTGCTTTCGATCTCTTCCTCAGTTCATCACTGCCGCCATTCACCAGGTGCAAACATGTTGTGAGTTTAGAGATGTCAGCATATTCTCACGGCGCCTCGTCTTAAGTCTCACTTTAGCCGCTACTTTTTTGCGTCCGCAGCTGACAAGACGTAGCGCGTAGGTTGCGCGGTAAGTGCGCGGGATTGTGGCAGCAAGAGGTTATTTGGGCGTCCGTTGGGTGCTTTGTGGATCTTGTCTGTCAGGCTCGGACCTTCTCGAACTTGAGGCGGGACGCCATCGGGACACGCCCGCGCAACTTATGTGTCCCCAGTGTTTGTTTGTTTGGGTGAGGTCGGGGCCCGTGGGCAACGAGCGTAGCGACATCGGGCGGGCCGTGCAACCTGGGGTCTGGTTCTTCTGGGCAGCATTAGGGCCTGTCCGAAAAACGAGTCGGGGCACCGTCGGGCCAATTCTGCATACGCATTATGCGTCCCTGCGTATTTTGAAGCTGGCTGGCTTGCCAGTCGGTTGGCCGGAGGCCCGAGATGTGCAGAAGCTAGCCAAGAGAACGGGGGCGAACCATTCCGCTTGCGTGATACGTTCAACATATGGCGTGACCACGCTTGTGCTATCGGCGCCGCTCCTGTGCGTCCATCTTGCGACCATCGCAGCCTGATCGCGGTGCCTCTGCTTCTTCGCGTGCTACAGGGGGCAGATCGAGTTCTACTTCAGCGACGAGAACCTCGGTGGGTGGCGGTGTGGGTTGTGGAGCGAGTGGGGGTCAGGGCCAGGAATGAATGGATGAGTTCAGGAGAGGGGTTGGGGAACGTGGTTCCTCCTCGTCCCCCCGCCTCCCAGCGTGTTTCTCTCCCTCCTCCCCCGCCTCCTCCACATCCTCCACTGGGTTCGGATGATGGGAGGAGAAGGGGACTCGACCAGCAGAATATCGATGAGGCTCAGATGGAAAAGATGAGGGGAATGGATTCGTGCTCTTCGCTTCTTCCCGATCCTCTTCTCCTCCTTCTTCTTCGTTTTTTTCCTCCTTCGTTTCCTCCCTGCTCCTTCCCATGCACCTCGATCTCTCCTCCTCCACCACTGCGCGGGACGGCAATCATGGAACGAGTGAATTCGGAGGGTCGAGGCGAGGGCAATTGATGAGTTGTTCTCTGGAGAGGACAGGGCCCGCCAGGGCCAGGGAGGGCGCTTCCTCCCTCTGCCTCCCTCCACCCTCCACCCTCCAACCATTCCCAATTCCCCAAGAGGAAGCCAAACAGGGCCCACGCTAAGAGCCCAAGCGAACCCCAAGAGTCTCACGACGGTGCCAAGAGAGAGCGTGGGGCATCGTCTTGGCAGGTGCCCCCAAGATTCTTCCGAAGGCCTCCAGGATCTTCCCAAGAGGCCCCCAGAGGATTCAAGAACACCCCAGGAGGTCCCCCAAAATATGTCCCAGAGGCATCCCAACAAAGTCTAAAACACCTCCCAGGGACCCTTGAAACTGTCGTTTCGGAGCCTCCTTCGAGATCTCTTGGGGTCTCCTCGGAGCTCTCTTGGGGTCTTTTTGGATGCCCGTCGGGCCTGTCTTGCCCCGCCTCGAAACGCTGATTGTGCTCCTCTCAGAAGCCCTTGTTCCTGGGATGTCGTGTTCCTCGGGTTCGTTCGGTCACTTGCACTATCGTTCGGTGGATTGCATTGAGTTGTGTTGTGTTGCATGTGCACTTGCCTTGGCGCGTGATTCATACTGCGCTGGTGAACATTGCTTTCCTTTCGCCTTGCGTTTGCTTCGCTCACTTCTGCTTGCAATGCGTTGCGTTGCTTTGTCCTCGCATCTGAATGTTATGTTTTTGTGCTTGTATTGCGCTTCCCTCGCATTACATGCGTTTCTTTCATTGCTTTGCATATATCGCATTCGATGATATGGACGTAGTATTGTCAGTCAGTTGTTTCTGATCAAGCCTCACTGCTGATATTTAATCACCTCTTGCTGGAGCCACTTGTGAGAAACTACCTCGGCGGAGCCGTGGGCTTCCCAAGGGCTGGGTATGGCCAGAACATAAGCGCACGAAGCGTGCGTGTGGTTTTAGTGTGTATATATAGGTGTATATGGAAACAAACATGGATGCATACATACACGCGCACGTGTGTACGTAGTGCGCATGAGCATCACCTTCCGACGCACAGATTTTCTCATACACACCTACATACATATCTACTCACATACGCTCCTAAGTCGCGA